AAAAAAAAAAAAAAAAAAGAAAGAAAAAAGGGAAGAACCATTGCGGCTGAAATACGATACCTTGTGACGATTGCCAATGGGTCAAGGAACAGATTGCAGCTCCTGGATCTATGTTGATCGGTTCTGGAAGAAATTCCCCTTCTTCAAGTCATTTATCAGCAGGACCAGATCCATAGAATCAAAAGTGAGAAGATGCGTGGTTAAAAGGCTTCAGTTCTCAACGCCCAGAAGATGCTACCTATACCTAGGTAGATACCTCATTAGTGAGTCGTTTGCGGTCTTCCTGCTGGGGTGACGAAGTGTCACGAATTTGGCAGAAGGTAGCGAATGAACATTGAGGATCAGGGCCACGCAACAAACCACTTGCCAAGAAACCGGGGCGGTCATCTTGGTAGCCTGTCATATTCCATGAAGAATAAAGGTACCTACCTGTCTTATACAGAGTAGATCAGATAGTTTACACAAATTGAATTGAATTACCAAATTTCGCTGCTCCAAGTAGCATTTTCTAACCCCTATCGACCGCTGGTAATATACGTATGATCATCGTCCGGTCATATTGCTCATCTCATATGATTATCACTTAATGACACGAACCCAGCGTAAAAGGTTTTCTGATAGTAATGGCAATTACATTTACTGCCTTAGGTGATGTCGGGTGGTACATAGTGAACTCCGTGTCGAGGAGGTAATAATGATCTCTAGACACAGAAAGGCAAACCAGCAAGGGCAACTATATCAAGACGCGATAGTAGTACCTTAGTATCTACTAGGTCAGTTGTGGGTCAGAATGGAATCTAAACTAGGCGAATCGTCTTCAGATTTGTCTATTTCGCATAGTACATGTAGTCTGACTATCTGGGTGCTGCAGTCTGCAAAGAAATGTCACGTGGCTGGGTGCTTTTTCTAGCTACAGGCGGTAGCTGCACGTTGCTTTGATACTCAGAAACGACGTCGTGTTCATTGTTCAGTCTCAGATCAAGTACCATCGCAACTTGAAGCCTATGAGATATCAACTCGACTAGCCTACCTGAATGTCTTTATAATGAAAACCCTTGGCGCCGAAACTGCTACTATTTACGAATACCATCCTGTGATAACACGTCGAAGTTGTCTGGCCACTCTTATTGCGATATGTCTTTATTCTGTAACCACTGTATGCAACGGTCTTCTCGTAGAGAATGATTCGCCTCAGCTCCTACTTGCGCAAAATCTCGCAAGCATCTCATTCTCAGATGAATGGCAGCTACTTGGCCCTTTCCAATGTGGTACCAGAGGTTCGTGCCACTTTCAGGCGCCCCTAGCTGAGAGCCAGCCACAAACAAGTAGAAAGTTGCGAGCTGATTTGACCGCAATTTCCCAGAGGCTGTCTGGGGTGCCGATCCCTTGGAATCTCATGGTGGGTTTCATAGCCTTTCTTTTGATGCTAATGCAAGCTTCGACAGCGCGCTAGCAGTCAATGGGAGCGTCAAATGGAAAACTGCCCGAGCTCTCGCACACAGCTTTGCTCCAGGGAAAGCTAGAACGGAGCTCAATGTGAGCTTTCCAGAAATAGACTGGAAGTTCACGCAAGCTGTCTATGGATGGTCTGCTCTACAATATCAGGCCTGGGCGCGCGGATCACTGAATATTGGCCATTGGGCCCCTCAGTCTGTGGCAATATTCACAAGCGGGCTCCTTGAGATTGTGATTGATGGCAAGCGGCATTTCGGAGGAGATTTTTATGACTATGGCACAGTACCCATCATTATTGATTTAAGTACAGGTGACCATGTGGTTGAACTGCGGCTTATTCGCGATGTTCGAGCTTCGGGCGCGATAGGAGAGCCCACGATCGTAGCGTCGCTTGCCGCGGAAATCCGTATCGAACCTCTTAGTGTCGATAAAGAAACTCTGCTGCTGCCAGACATGTGCCGTGGCAAGCTCGGTACACCTTGGGCATCAATTAACCTACATAATAACATTGCGGATCGGATCGCGGTTCTTGCCATCAGCTCGATTGGTGTTGGTGTCAATTCTCTGCCTCTTTGAAAGATACGAAAGAAAAGTGACACGTACTTAGGGCTGCCGGCATAGTCTGGTGATGAATGAGCCACTAGACTTGCTTGGATATCAAGCACGACCTCTGGTGTTCCGGATCTACCTGGGTGATTCGTCCCAGAAGGAGTTATCCGCTGAAATATTGTACAAAATACACCGCGGGAATGATGAGATCTTCCAAACTTACCCACTCCGTTTGAGACTCACTGAAAAATCAGTATCCCAGGCCCAGAAGCTTACATACTATTATGCAGGCATAGTCTCTTATGCCATCCTGCGCCCTCCCCCGGAGACATGTGCACCTTCCGAGGGAGATGGCGCCTTGCCTGTCATTGTTGGCTTGCATGGTGCAGGTGTCAAGGCAGACAGTGTACAAGTTCGTGAGATGTTGGATGCCGCGTATGGTACTTGCGCGTGGATATTATCTCCCAGCGGGGTTACTCCTTGGAGCGGCGACGATTGGCGTGAGTTCGTCGTGTTCCTATCTTGACCCCCCTATGTCGTCCTAGAACATCGTGTTCCACATTGCATGGGTCCGCTGCCTTCCCAGCCTATGCATTCCATCCTCACGATCATATGGACACTCTTCTTTCCACGTCTTAGGTGGCGTGAAAGTGGTTGCAAAAATACTAAGGAAGAGGCTACTCACTGGCTATAGATACTTGGGGTGCTGGAGACGTCGAAGCTGCTGTGAACGCAATTCCACGTTGGATTCACAGTACTGGCTGGGATATGGTGCGCGTATCACAGGAAGAATGGATAGTCGTCGGACATTCAAATGGAGGTATGATCTGTCAAATAACCAATTTCTCAGCTCGCTAAACTCTTGTAGGGCAAGGGGCGTGGTTTTTGGCCACCCATTATTCGGACAAAGTAATCGCCGCAGCACCAGTGTCGGGCTACTCATCCATTGAGAGTATGTCGAGAACATCAGTTTCGACGGTTGAGAGTGCTAATACAGGTAGATTATGTACCTTACAACATGTGGCGGGATTCGGAGCCTCTGCTCTCATTCGTGCTCTCGAGGTCACTGTCAAGCTTTAAACATGAGTTGCTACTAAGCAACGTTGCGGGTATCCCGATATTACAACAGCATGGCTCAATTGATGACAATGTCCCTGCATTTCATTCGCGCTTAATGCATGAATTACTTGGACAGACCCAGTGGCCATCACAATATGATGAATTGCAAGGCCAGAATCACTGGTTCGATGGCGTATTGACCACCCCATCCCTTCTGGCATTCTACAATGAAACTGCCACCTATCCTCGTCGACCCAGGCTTCCCTTGGCATTCACAATCACTGTTCCATCCTCAGCAAATATTGCGAAAGGTGGGATCTATGTCGATCAATTGCGATCTCCTGACAGGAACGGAGTGGTGCAGGTCACTAGAGATGCGCATAGCGGTATCTGGTACCTAAACACGACTAATATACATCGCTTCCACCTTTCGCCAAGGGTCTTGAGTTTCACAATGGCCTCTGCGCTAGTCTTGGACGGCAGAGATCGTTTTGAAGTGGGTTACATCCGGCCTGAACGCATGTGGTTTCTGAGAGATTCTCAAGGAAGGTGGACTGTCTCAGAGAGAGAGGATTGGCGCCAATTGAATGAGCGGTATGGTCGTCAGCTCGGAGCTATGGATGCCATCCTGCGCACCAAGGGCACCTTCAACATCAACATTTGCTCAGCTGGGATTGAGCACATAGCTGTGCAAATCAGTCGTAATCTTCTTCAATATTTCGCTGCAGATTCCCAACTATCACGGCAATGCGGCTCCCTAATTAACTCCGACAGCGATCAGGGCCGAGTTGTCGATAGCGGGAATGTTATCACACTCGCTCTGGGCAACGAACTACCTTCATCGAAGCTTATATCATTTCCGATTCACATACAGGGCGAAGGTCTCCGTCTCTTCCAGGGCTGTTGCTGGCCTGGGGCAGACACAGAGGCAAGCCCCCAGTCCAGCATGAACCGAGAGTGTAAAGTATATGAATTCCCCTTCGAGCGAGGCATGGGCGCCCTCTTCCTCCGCCCTTTGGAGAATGAGAGACTCGAGCTTATTGTATGGGGAGCAGACTTGTCTGGTCTCGAGCAAGCTGCACGTCTTGTACCTACCCTTACAGGTGTTGGGCAACCTGATTTTCTCATTCTTGGCGATAGTTGCCGTTGGCAGGGACACGCTGGAGCATACGCAGCTGGCTTTCTCGATAGATCTTGGCAGATATCGTCCGGGTCTTATATTCGCGTAGATGCCAGCGCGAATGAGCAAGTTTTAAAATGCGGTGCTTGATCAGCCTGCGATCCTGGCGATATCGAGGCAACTCAAGCATGGTTATGAGGATGGACATGTCAATCCGGAAAGGTAAGACCTGATATCAAATCTGTTCTATCTTCAGTACTATATAATGTCAGAACACTGAAGGTCTTCCCCTCAATCTAAATGTGGCTTAAACCATGATGTTCCGCGTCACGTTCGGCTCAACGTATCAGTTCATTGATTTATTCATACTAGGCTTGACTTCTCTTCTTGTTGGGATTTTGAACTTGGCTCTAAGTGTGGTGTCGTCACCTTGGGGTCCTTCTACTTCAGGTACACTACTGCAGCACACTTCATTGCAAGAGTGATCCGTTCTTTTGTATCCTTCCTGCCTATTCTTCTATCTCTATTCTTTTTGCTCATTATCTGGCATCTTCTACTACCAGCGCTCCTTCCTCATCACGGCACTGTCTTGAGTCTATTTTGCATCAGGCATCTTACCTTTCCGTGATCTAATGTCGAAAGAATCCATCCTTTCTCTCACGTAGAGACTCCCATCTGTCATCTTCCGTCCCTTTTTCTCCACAATAAATCATATTTCTCGGCTTAACACCATCTTCTCGACAATTTGCTCTCTGCCAGCTTGCCCTTACATCCGGAATACTCATACATTGCCAGGTGTGTCTCCCTTTTTGAGTACCTTTCTATAATTGCTTCTTGTCTCCTTAACCCTTCGCCTCAAAGACTGGCTGCGGCAGATTTCGAACCAGCGAAGACTTAAGTACGCCTAGCAGTTGAGGCCGGCAAGATGTCCATGCTTTCAACTGGGTCCCCTAGAACGGATCGCCGACCATCGCGAACAGAAGCCCTTTCAGACAATCAGATAGTTGAAGCACAGTTTATACAATTTGGATGTGAAACATCGGTAAATTGAAGAACTTCTAGCTTTAAAACTTATATTTTCCTTGAATCAACCATAGTCTAACGCATTTGAATGATATTCACAGGGACACAAGCAATACAGCACTCCAAGCAGCACGCCAGACCCTCTGGTGTCTTCCAAACTCGGAAATTTCCAGCCTACTGCTGGTGAAGTCGTCGATTTTTCATCCAATAAGGTCAGCACTTCTCTGCCAGGTCCTTTAATACCCATTGTCTCACAAACCTAGAAGCAGAAGCTGGAGCATTTGCCCACTGCCTACCCAAGCAGAAGTTCCGAGATGGAAAAGCTGTTGGCCAAACTTTCTCCCAAGCCTCATTCCTCTCCCTTCAAGCCTGTTGAGAATCGAGAGATACTCACGAAGCTGTCCGAGCAACAAGTCTTGCTTGAGCAACAGAACCGTCTCCTGACAAGCACCAGTGCTTCGATCGAGGATCATGTTGATCGCGACAAGAATTCTGCAGTGAAGCCACTCAATTCGACATTGGAAATATCGCATGCCACCGAGGCCATAGGTAATGCTTGCTTTGTTCCCACGAATACTGAGACGTCTGAAGTGCTCCGCCTCAAGAAGGAACTGCTCGCTGCGAATTCTAAACTGGCCCTCCAGGAGCAAGAACTCGCACAAACACGAGTTATGAAACACACTCTGGATCAAGCTCTTGGAACACCCTCTGAAGCTGATTTCAACGGGCGTGAGGTCACCGAGCACACAATAAGCCATTTGCAAAGTGCCTTCAACGCGTCCAGCTCAAACTTCACGCAGCCACATGAAGGATGGAGTACCCATGACGATTCACAATCAGACGTCTCTGAAGCACTATCCGCAGGCGCGTACAGCAGGGCTCGAGGATTCTGGTGGCCCCAGACGCAGCAGGTATTCGGCATGCATATGAATGCTCCAGCTGGCGAAAAGACCTACGGTGAGCATGTGTCTCTCTCAAACAACACCTTTGGTCCAGAAGCCAACAGATTCTGGACCAACCCCACTGCAAGCCTTAGCATAAATGGCTCTTTTCAACCACATCGAGTTCTTTCGGGACCCTCCTTCGGGACCTGTGAGTCCACTACGCAATACCCTGAGGGTCCAGCTCGGTATCTTCATAGCCCAAATAGTGCTCAGCGACGCTCAGTACCCCATGACAATCGTGCTGGTCCTTGCTTTTCAGCCCAGAATCCTTCGTGGGAAGCGTCGTTTAATACTGCATCTCCCAGCAACCAGCTTCCGCGAGCCCCTACAACTCGACCGTGCAGCACGTATCAGCAGGTGGGTTTATACCCAATCCCACCTTACCAAAGACCTATCGGAACCTCGCTTTCGCCTACGGCAAATGAATTTACTTCCTCTGGCGCAAATGCGGTGCCCTGGACGACATCTCCGGTGAGTGTCCACCAACAATCATCCATGCAACTTGTCTCCTCTGCTAAAGCAGATAGGTCGGCGCAAACACTTTGCAGACCTATATCTCTCCTCTTGAACCACTCAACTACCGTCGGCTCCTTGATAAAAATGTGTCTTGCGACTGGAAATATATAGTGGACAAAATTGTCTGCAACAACGACCAGCAGGCCTCTATCTTTCTTCAACAAAAGCTCAAAGTTGGAACAGCTGAACAGAAATATGATATCATCGAAGCAATCACACATCAGGCGTATCCGCTCATGGTCAATCGATTTGGTAACTTTCTTGTTCAACGTTGCTTCGAGCATGGAACTACAGAACAAGTCGTTGCCATAGCCAACGCCATCAAGGGCAACACGCTGAGCCTTAGCATGGATCCCTTCGGATGTCATGTGGTTCAAAAGGCTTTTGACTGTGTCCCAGAAGAACACAAGGCTGTCATGGTTCATGAGCTTCTTCGCAGAATTCCAGAAACGGTTATTCATCGGTACGCATGTCATGTGTGGCAGAAGCTTTTCGAGCTGCGTTGGAGCGGGGAGCCTCCTCAGATTATGGCGAAGGTCAATGAAGCCCTACGAGGAATGTGGCATGAAGTTGCTCTGGGTGAAACTGGCAGTTTAGTAGTCCAGAACATTTTTGAGAACTGTGTAGAAGATGAGAAGGTGACAGCTTCCCCAGTCCCTCGCTCGGAACGCTTGTTTTTCATCTTTCGTCCTTGCTGCGCGGATTTACATCTCGGCGGTCTTGTGTCGACCGAGCATATCTATTTCTGAAACCAGATGATGAACTGCGCTAACGCATATGTAGCGTCCGGCTATTGAAGAAGTATTGGCAAAGATCGATGTGCTCGCCCATGGTCAATTCGGAAACTGGTGCATTCAACACATCTGTGAGCATGGCGCTCCTCAAGACAAGAGCCGAGCCATTGAACACGTTATCCTTTGGTCAGTCGATTACAGTATGGATCAGTTTGCCTCCAAGATCGTTGAAAAATGTCTCAAGATAGGGGGCTCCGAATTTCTGGATCGCTACCTCGCCCGGGTCTGCACTGGCCGTACTGATAGACCCAGAATGCCCTTGATCGATAGTGAGTTTCTTCAGACTGATTAAATGTGCTCCACTGACTCAGTTGATTTCGACAGTTGCTGGAGATCAATATGGGAACTACCTCATCCAGTGGATTTTGATGAATGCTGCACCTCATCAGCGTGAATTGGTCGCCAGCCACATTCGGTATTGCCTTGCCTCTCTCTCTACCTTTACCAATATAGCGATGCTCACACAATCACCATAGGAAGCACATGGTATCTTTGCGTGGTTCCAAGTTTGGTTCACGCGTGGCAATGCTCTGCTGCAATCCATCCCATACCACCCGTCCCGGACCCGGGGCGGGCATGCAGATCGGCCGTTTCAGCAATCTCAACGACGACCGGTATCATCTGGCAGGCCAACATGGAGGGAGATTCAGCCGCGGAAACCCGTGGAATCCAAACTATCCACCATTTCGTTGACTGAGCCTCTAGGAATTTCGACCAGGCACAGCGACACTGACGTTTGCATACTGCAAGGTATGAATGTAGGAACCAGCAAATGTTATCGACATTCTTGTGGCAAACAAGCAATTCAGGATGAATTCTTATGTTGTTTCTTGTACCTGAAGGCTGGCAATATTCTGTGCGAGTTCCCAGATAACCGGTTGAACTCATCGAGAGATTGTGCATTTTATTTTCTTTGTGTTTCTGGTTTATTATACATCCAAGCTGTTGTTTCCCTTTTATGGTTGAGTGAGCGATCATATGATGGAAATAGTCGTATCCCAGTGCATTGCAAGGATATTAGCAGGTATGGGATAGCATGCTGGGACTTTGGCTTATTCAAGATAACATCCCATGACAAGTGTATATCCCGGATCGTCTCCTGGAATGTGTGCGGTTCGATGGCTGTCAAAGTCATTCTCTACATAGCCATGTCATTCCATGAACGCGAACGCGCAGTGAAAGATACAAAGATAAGAGGCTTATTTCAAAAGAACGCTTCTTTGCTGGCTTGATTTCCCCGCAAAGCTCAAAAGCTTGGCATGATAGAATTGACAATGCATGTCTCGAAATCCACGCTTTGTGCGTTGTTGTAGCTTAGCAGCTTCTCATCCGAGGGAAGCATCTCGATGTTGGGCTGAAAGATTACATACACCTTGACTGCAGTCCGCGTCAAATGGAGTCTTCAAGCAGAGACATGACTGCTGGCTCTCCACCGCGGGGCTATGCATGTGTAGTTGATAGTACAGCTGACATGGCCGTCCTCGTCAATTTTCAAACGGTAACTCTGACCCTCGTGCAGATTCATACTCTACTTCCCAAGGTTTCCGTCGCCTCGGTTTCTCACTTGGAGTATCATGGCCCGTCAAAACTGTGTCAGGTATTTGCTGGATGCCGGGTATTTGCTGACCAGTCGTTATGAGTTCGACAATTCGAGCGAAGGATGATGGGTAAGCGGGCTCTTGAATCGAGGGCGATTGCTGATTCATAGGAACTACGCCAGGCGGTATTGCGGTCTCTGATGCGCTTGCTCTCTGAGAATCATGATTGCGAATTTCAGCGTCAGGTGAGGGCTCTGCGGTCGGAGTCGAGCCCAGCCAGGTCTTGAGTTGTTTGAAATCGAGCGGCGGCGATATCTGCTCTTTGCTATATTAATATCCAGCAAATGTTAGCATAAGCACACCACATAAGTAAAACAATGCTAACGGTAAGCCTGACAACGTGCGTTGAAAGGGACATACCGCGAAAAATAAAAGCATTTTGCTTGTAGTACTAGGTCGTCTTCGCAATCGATCTCAGCTTCAGTTGCCGGGACGTCGGGATGACCGAGGATGATGGAGAGCCCTTTTGCAAATTCAACATCTGTACTGAACGGATAGGAATTGAGCTTTCTGAAGAGATCAATTTCTGATTGTTGCGTCTCTACTAATTGACTTCCCTGACTAGGTGTGTTTCCCACCATTGCCTCTGGACATGGGGTCGGGGTTTGTGGAAGAGTGTCCATTGGCGGACTGCACAAAGGCCTCGTTACTAGGTATATGCTGGACGGTTATTCTTGCAATACTTGGAGGATTCGGGCGATATCATTCGGGTCCTGAAAATAAAAGGCCTCGTTGTTAACTCGATGCCAGAATTCTGGCTGGTGAGCCTCAAGGAAGTTAAAGGACAAACTGTGTATACGTGGGGAGAGACTTTCAGCCGAGGCAAGAATCGCTCTGACGTAAGATCTTATATCTACCTCAGATATAGGAAGGATAATGATAATCTCAGAAGCGAGACTAATAACTGGCGCGTCCGAGTCTGATGCATTCGTAAGACTTTTGCCATTTGCACCACACCTCAACAGACGACTATCAAGTTATAGTTACTACTCCGTATGCGTGCCTTAAGTGTTGAGGGTGAGCCTAAGGCATAGATATATGACACTAGCAAGCCCGCCGCCTCGACTTAGCAGTCCCGTACCAAGGGGCCTTTTTTAAGCAAGTTCCGAAATCAAGCCAACTTACGGGAGGAGGGGGAAAAGAAAAGGACTAAGACTGGGGGTGTGGGAGACAGGCAAAAAGAGAAAAATGCACCGGCCATGCTATCCAAAACGAACCAAGACAGTGATACAATAGAGTCTTTTCGCCTCTTAAGAAATGAAGGGAAACAGAAAACTATTATGTTGAGGTGTCCATTTCCTCTGTGGCAGTCTTAACCCTAGGCCGGTCAGCCATGGCCAGCCCACTAATTCCGCTTTGGCAGCCTGGGCAATTGTGCACAATTTCATGAGCAAAAAGATCACAATCAATACAGAAGTGATTTTTGCAAACTGTACACTCATAGCGACTGCTGACACTCATCCCTTTTGCCTGGGTCTCCGTAGCTTGCCACTGGTCTTTAGGAGGTACTGTAGGGAAATATATGCCGCAGGCAAAGCATGTCGAACTGCGTGAGGCACGTTGCCAGGGAACCTCAACCCAGTTCATGAGCGGAAACAGATGATGATAAGATCGCGCAAGATGCGTCGACAGTATAAGCGTAAGACCGCAAGAGGGGCATTCAGCAGGGAGCCCACAGACTTTGCTACCGCATCGTGAACATAAGTACCCTCCGCAAGAGGGTTTAGAATGACACGCACACAGAGAGGGACACGTCTCGACAGTACGGGACGGAAACCCCATCATCAAAAGGGAGCTTGTGGTTTGTTTTTGGGAATATGTCACAGGCGGTGTCGTTACATCCATCATTAACTCGCGAAAGTGCTGCTCGTTGAGCGCCACGCCATACGTGGTGTCGTCGCCTGCATTAGTCCTAGAGCAGAGTTCACGACAAATAGCCACCTGAGCGGCCAAACCAGCAATTCTGACACGGATCTTGTCATTTATCAACGTGGTGATCGTCTGATGTATATCGCCCGGATCGGAGGAAAGGAGAGATCCAAAGATCACAAATACTTCTCGGGTTCCATGACTAGGAGTATGACTATCGACGCCAGGTCAGTTTTACGACTAGAAATATGTGGTGGCTCGGGTATAGAAGGTCTCACAATAAAGCACCACGCGCCATTTCAAGCCCATTCTGCAAGCTAGGAAGGCCCTTGGGGTCATGATCCCTCAGAGCCTGTATAGCACTGATGTGCTCCGTAGGGTTGCCACTCATATCACTGACCCGGATTGCAAGACCATCCCTCAAGCCAAGCACGCCAAGTTGGGATATGGGATTCTGCTCAAAAAATTCCCGCACGAATTCTTGTGCATATCGCAGGGAAAGAAGGTATCGCGTCGGCCTTAGATCTTTCTCGGCCATAGACTGGGACAAATCCAGAATCAAGATGAGATGCCGGATTATACCACGTTGCAATGGTGTTGTATCTCTTAAAAGTCTACAAGACGATGATGATTATGATGCTGCTCAGTGCAACGGCCCTTAAAAGGTATATGGAGTCTTCCATTCTGAATGAAGCTTACCTCTTCCTTTTCCCGGCTTCTAAAAGTCCTTCAACAGTAGAGCTGATTGTGCCATCTGCACCCTCGACCAAGGTCTCCCAAGTTCTCGAAACCTCCCATTCAGCACCCCCGCGCTGCTTTCTCCGTTTAGGGCGGGATACAGGCGCCGTTTCCCGGGCATATCGGATACCGTTGATATCATTTTCTTCGTCGGAAACTTCACCAACGTACTCTTCGTCCGAATCAGCCATGGTCTCCTCGAAGGGTCGAGTGGAGTAACTGTGTCGGTCTGTAAGGGTGTGATAATGATACGAGCATTGAGTCAATCAAAGCGATCTACATGAGAATTGAAAAGATTGACTAACAATGCTCGTGCTTATCACAATGCATCAACTCATCAAGTCATAACGAAAGCTTGGACAATCGGTGACTTGCTTCGAGAAAGAGTGGGCCGAAAAGCCAAGAAGTACCTAGCTTCCTAGGGTATCACAGTCCGGAGCTCCGCCCTAGCTCCGTATTGAAAATTTCGGCTCTATTTCTCCGAGGTGATGATATCCACATGGAATGGTAAGGTACCTGGGTAAAGGATTGTTCCAGAGACACAAGGCACTCTGTAATTACTATGACCTTTCCCTTCCAAAGTTTTAGCTCGGTAAATAGCTGATCAGGTACAGAGCCGTCGAGAGATGGATATAGATGATTCTCAGAGGCATTGTTAAGTATGGAGTAAGGTACAATGATAGTATCAGTGTCAACCATAATTTACTTGACTAAGAAAGTGTCTACCTAGACGACAAGAATAAAATCTAAGAAGCGTAGCATAAGTACTGGTAGTAAAATACGATGTTCAACGCATATTCAAGGGTTTATCAGACCCATTGAGAGATCGTTCTTCCTAGTTTCGTTCATCCTCGCCCTTCCTTTTCCATGTCTCGATAAGCAGATTGGCAGAAGCTCTCCAAGTATCCCCGACAATAACCGTCGCCAGTTTCGTAACAGATGTGGGGGAGAAAGTGTTGCATCGCGTCTACCAGATGCGCTGGCGTAATCCCTGAAGCAATCCGCTGTCATCATTTTGTTAGCCATCGACCCATCTGGCCAGTGTCTCTTCTCCGCCCCTCCTTCCCCTCTTCTGCTTCTTCTCGTGGGGTTTCTTCTTCTCGCTTTTATCTCCCTTCTTGCACATTTCTGCGTCGTCCAGTCAAACTTAATCTTTCAAAATCCCTCGTAAGGCACTGTTCATTTGACGTACTCGCAATGGCAATGACGGATAGAGATACACTACCTGACGCGTAAGTTTTTGGAACCTCTACCACCTGACTTCTTCAGCATCGTGGACATGTGTTGACAAGGTAACAGGGTTAAACCAGTGCACTACCATGTGTCCTTATATGATCTCGAGCTTGGTGGTGCTTGGGGCTACAAGGGTATTGTTAGGATAGATTCCACCATCACTCGGCCCACCCAGGAAGTTGTGCTCAATTGCAAGGAGATCGAGGTCCATAAAGCAGAAATTTTGGGAAAAGATGGTTCGTCCAAAAAGCAACATCCACATTTAAATCAATGCGCTGCTGTAGATTCCACTGACAGCGACTGTCATATTTCTTACTTCAGGTACGGAATTCGCGAAGGCGTCTAAAATCACGTATGACAAAAAGTCAGAACGAGTGTCTTTTATGTTCTCTCAAGAAATATCGCCTTCAGACATTGTGCTATCTATTGGCTTCACCGGCACGATGAACAATGCCATGGCTGGTTTCTACCGCTCAAAGTACAAGCCTGCCGTGCAGCCCACGGCTGATACACCCAAAGAAGGTGACTTCTACTACATGCTTAGTACTCAATTCGAGTCCTGTGACGCACGAAGAGCCTTCCCTTGCTTCGATGAACCAAATCTTAAGTCAACTTTCGACTTTGAGATCGAGGTTCCCAAAGGCCAAACTGCCTTGAGCAATATGCCGATCAAGTCAGAACGCGACGGTAGTAAGCCCGACCTCAAGGTTGTGTCCTTTGAAAGGACCCCAGTCATGAGCACCTATGTCAGTACAATATCTTAGTCCTTATCTGCTAAGGAAAGGCTAACTAGTTGCAATCTCCGTCCAGCTTTTGGCATGGGCTGTTGGTGACTTCGAGTACGTTGAAGCTATGACTCAACGCAAATACAGCGGAAGGAGCATACCAGTCCGTGTCTACACTACGAAAGGGCTCAAAGAACAGGCACGTTTTGCCTTGGAATGTGCTCATCGCACCGTCGATTATTTCTCGGAAGTATTCGAAATTGAATATCCCTTGCCCAAGGCTGATCTTCTTGCCGTTCATGAGTTTGTGAGTGGTGCAAAAATCCCTCCTGAAGGCCCTACTTCCACTGATCATATCGCCTCAGGCCATGGGTGCCATGGAGAATTGGGGTCTTGTCACATATCGTACGACCGCAGTTCTATTTGATGAGGGAAAATCCGACACCCGCTACAAGAACCGCATTGCATACGTTGTGGCTCATGGTGAGTTTCTTAGTTTGAGGCATAATGATTGCGTGTGGCTCTTTTCTAAGAATGAACCCGCAGAATTGGCCCACCAGTGGTTTGGCAATCTTGTGACTATGGACTGGTGGAACGAGCTTTGGCTGAACGAAGGCTTTGCAACTTGGGTTGGCTGGTTGGCCGTTGATCATTTTTATCCCGGTAAGAGAGGCTCCCTTGCTTCTGTCTCAAGATGTACTGCGACTTCATCCAACTAATATAACGAACCAGAATGGAACGTTTGGTCTCAGTTTGTCGTACGCAATTCCCGAGGTAACGATGTCATTATCCGTCTGTTGTTAACTGGTCGCATAGGCTGAAGGCGTGCAACAAGCGTTTCAGCTCGATTCCTTGCGCGCATCTCACCCCATTGAAGTCCCCGTAAGGAACGCTCTGGAAGTAGACCAGATTTTTGACCATATCAGCTATCTGAAGGGAAGCTCGGTGATTCGCATGCTGAGCGATCATCTCGGTCGACAAACGTTCCTCCGTGGTGTGGCCGACTATTTGAAGAAGCATGCGTATGGTAAGTCAGGCTTGAGGGTTGGTTTGTAGAAGATCGCTGCTGAGAACGATGTCAGGTAATGCTACTACAAATGATCTCTGGTCTGCCCTCAGTCAAGCTTCCAGCCAGGATGTCCATAAATTCATGGTGGGTCAGACCTTGCTCGCTTCGCCTTCTGGGGTTTTTCTAACTCTTCCTCAAAAGGATCCGTGGATCCGAAAGATTGGTTTTCCTGTTCTCACCGTGGCAGAAGAGCCAGGCCAAATTAGCATTCGCCAGAACCGATTCCTTTCAACTGGGGACGCAAAGCCTGAAGAGGACGAGACGACATGGTGGATTCCGCTGGGCATCAAATCAGGACCCCGGCTGGCCGACGTGAATTCACGCGCCCTTATCTCGAAATCCGACACTATTGCGGGCGTCGGTCAAGATTCATTCTACAAAATCAACAAGGATCTGTCAGGCTTCTACCGCACGAACTACCCTGCCGACCGTCTAGCGAAGCTGGGCCATTCTTTGGACCTGTTAAGTACCGAAGATAAGATTGGCCTCATCGGTGATGCTGCTGCTCTCGCTGTGTCCGGTGAGGGAACTAGTGCTGCATTATTAGCTCTGCTGGAAGGATTTAAGGGGGAGGAAAACTACTTGTTAGTGCCGAGCACATCTATAAGAGTTTTTAAACTGCTACTCACCGTCTTCATTCCAGGGTTTGGTCACAGATTTCGTCGTCTGTCGCAAATCTGCGCTCTGTCTTTTCGCAGAATGACTCAGTAGCTGCGGGACTGAAGAAATTCACACTTGCATTGGCATCTCCCGCCGCCGAAAAAATAGGCTGGGAATTTAAGTCGGACGAAGATTATCTCACTGTGCAGCTTCGTAAGCTTCTAATCGGCATGGCTGGGTTTGCGGGTCATGAAAGGTGGGTTCCCGGTATTGGCAGCTTGCGGGGCAAGGAAGTTCGGCTTACTGTTTTCTAGCATCGTTACTGAGGCGAAACGGCGTTTCGCCCTGTGGGCTTCAGGCAAGGACAAGAGTGCAGTGCACACGAACCTGCGCTCGGCAATCTTTGGTATCACGATCGCTGAAGGTGGACGCGACAAATATGATTCCGTGAAGGAAGAGTATATCAAGACCGACTCGGTCGATGGCAAGGAGATTTGCCTCGCCGCGCTTGGACGTGTCAAAGATTCTGATCTCGTCTACGACTATCTGGACTTTGTTTTCTCTGACAAAGTCGCAATCCAGGATGTGCACAATGGTGCCGTGGCTTTGGCTGCTAACTCGAAAGTCCGCCATCTTCTGTGGGAGTACATGAAGGAAAATTGGGATGCCGTTGAAGCCCGGCTTTCGGCGAACAACGTCGTCTTCGAGCGCTTTGTGCGAATGGGTCTGTCGAAATTCGCAGACCATAACATTGGTGCGGATATCGCTTCCTTCTTCAAGGACAAGGATACAAGTCCCTATGACCGCGCCTTGGTGATCGTTGCTGACTCCATACGAACAAATGCAAACTACAAAGAAAGGGACGAAAGACTGGTTTTGGAGTGGCTTCAGGCTCATGGCTATGCCTGATTGCTGCAAACAAGCTGCTAAGAGGCTTGATTGGAAGTTTGTATTGCAATGCAATCTTTGGGTCCCCTATTTCTGGTCACATCGGGTTGGTTCTCATTTATTATATGCAACAGAAGTCAAGATGTGCTTGACCATGCCAATGGCTAAATAGGCCTATTTTATGAAAGAAGGCTTCAGATTGTGGCAAAAAGTATCTACTTCTCAAAGACAATGTCCGCGCAGTCTCAGATAACACTAGTAATGGCTTACTCTCTCCTTCTACTGAACTCAGAAACGATGACACACAGGGGCAAGTGTAACTTTACACTGATTCGTGACAGATATAGTTCCCTGGTCACGAGGAGACATCTACAGAGGTGTGGGGAGCAGGCCGCTGAGCTGGAGTCCCTTCTTTGGAGTCCCTGTCAATTTATCTTACATCATGGAAAAATGCTCAGATTCAAGCATTCTACTATTACCAAGGGATACTGTGTATTAAAGAAGATCGAAAGAGCGCTCGAACATATGGGGTGTCAGCTGAAGGGGCTAACAGCTGACCGCTACGTGTCATTCATCATTGCCATGCTCGTGCTCATCTTTAGCATTGTTCTATTTTATCACTCACTGGGAATAGTAATTGTACTTGATCCAGTTTCCATAGCCATTTTGCCTATCTTGGTAGACATCCGATCTGATTGATACTTACGTGGTGTGTAGGTGTTCAAACGCTAGACTAGATTGGGCCAATTTATGGGTCTGAGGTGGTTGAACGTGAAACGGTCACAGACGGTATGGTCAGATGAAAAACATGGGTAACTTGCACGCTGTGCTCGCCTGCTCTCCTGCACTACCTACCGACTACCTACTACTAGCAACGTAACTGCCATCTCAGAACGCCGCTTCAGTCCATCTAAGTGCCTAGACAATCCGAGGCCACACTTACATCAATAGCTAGCCACCCAACTTTGCTATAGCCGTCTCATCTCATTCTGCTTTCCCCAACATTCCATTCTCACTTCTCACCTCCGTCAAAGCGACCTAGTTCTCGTTGACAGATACCACCGCTCATCATGAATCCTGAGTGGTAAGTTTCCCCCTTCTACCTACAGTACAGGAGGTTTAGAACTGGCGCTCGCGCAGCGAGAAAATGTCTTTCTCCTTTATCTCTCTTGTTTATGTCGACTGACTGCTGGATTTAACTAGAGTGCCTGATATCTCCGTCTCTCCTGTCTAGTCGTTCATTATCTCCGCAAAACTTAAAAGACAACTCCAACTCACTTTGATCTGTGGATAGATACGACTATCTCTTCAAACTCCTTCTCATCGGAGACTCTGGCGTCGGAAAGTCTTGCTTGTTGCTTCGATTCGCCGATGATACGTACACAGAAAGTTACATCTCCACCATCGGTGTCGATTTCGTATGTACTCGTCGCAAAGGCATACCGTTGAGCATACAGGCACCTTCGCAGTACTGATTAATGATGCTCCAGAAAATCAGAACTATTGAACTCGATGGGAAGACGGTGAAGCTCCAGATTGTAAGGACAAAGCACCGAAAATGGGCTCCTCACCGCCTGTCATAGCTGACAGACAATATATAGTGGGACACAGCAGGTCAAGAACGTTTCCGAACCATCACATCGTCTTATTACCGTGGCGCCCATGGCATCTGTGTTGTTTACGATGTAACCGACATGGACTCTTTCAACAACGTGAAGCAGTGGCTTCAGGAAATCGATCGCTACGCCACAGAAGGGGTCAACAAGCTGCTTGTGGGTAACAAGAGCGATATGGAAGACAAGAAAGTCGTGGAGTACACCGTAGCCAAGGTTCGCGTCCAACCATCGCCTCAGTCTGTCTAGCTTTCGTCCTAACATGATTTGTGATTTACCTGTTTAGGAATTCGCCGATAGCCTTGGAATTCCTTTCCTTGAAACCTCAGCCAAGAATGCTTCCAATGTTGAGCAGGCTTTCTTGACCATGGCTCGGCAGATCAAGGAGCGTATGGGAACTGCCACTGTTAACAACAAGCCGACTGTGCAGGTCGGTCAGGGTCAGGGTGTTCAATCTGGATCCGCAGGCGGTTGCTGCTAAGGGAGTCATGGTATACACATGCTGTTCTATGTTCAAGTGTGTTGTAACTTCTGAGCGACGGAAAGGGTATTTAGCCCAGTTCCCGGTGATTGCCTTTTACCGGGAATCGTTCAGATAATCTTCTGGGTTTCCTCATCCGCCTTCATTCTCTGTTAGTTTGAGATGACTGTTTGGAACTGCTTCAAGATTCTTCCATGCCTTTAGACTGTCCCGCAAATGTTTCCCTGCACGCTATTTCCGCCGGTGTTCTATCTTATCAATGCTCGCTGTGCCCCTTTATGATTTCTCCTCTGGTTTCTTATCCTCCCCTTTCTGCGGCACCTCTTCTTTTATTCTCCCCTTTTCTTGAGGTTGGACTCGTTAATGTTTGTCGAGTTAATTGTAAAGAAAGTCAATCCGTCTTGGGGAGGTAAATCGTCAGACGATATATTCTAAGCATTACGTTACATCTATCATGCTTTGACTGGGATTCATATTTTCCGACAGGAGCAGAAGTCTGCCTGCAGCACCTTTCGCGTAAATAAATTAGGCTGGAGGGACCAGGGCCGCGAGAAGGCAGATCGGAGATGAGCAGACTAGGGACTGTGATTATCGGAGATTAAACAGACAAGTAGACAACGCAATCGTAGAACTCGTCAAACATGAATGACCTCCACGTATAATGATAAACAAGTAATCTTACTGTGAAATAACAGTGGGGGACACTGTCAACCAGACAGCCCTGACTTATCAATTTAGGTGAGTATGCCACCCTTACTCACGGAGAATACCATTTCGACTGCTTTAAATAATATTTCTAAGGTAAACTTGGGGTCATCATAATGATGTGGATTGAAACATAAAACGACGTCACATGCAAATCAGGGAGAAAATCCTTGGGCCGCTTGGAGACATAGAACGTTTCTAATCTCTTAGCATAACACACCATGAGCAAGCATATGAGGTTGACGAGTTGACTGGCTTGCTGTGGACCTCGGCCTCTTGCTAAGACCTCGCCTTATTCATATTAGAGACTCGAAAAATGACCCTCAACTCCGGATTTCATATTCTAAGCTGGACATGCTCCTGTAGTAGTGACACACTCCGTATTAGTCCCTGTATAGATAGGACCTTCTAGGGCTGGTCCAAATAAGCCCAAAGACAAATGCCAGTCGCAAGATGATCTATCAGAAAGGACAAATTGTTCCAACCATAAATATTATTATGTGTGATTACCATGAAGTGCATATCGTAACTTCGGACAACGGAAGGGGGCCCAACGACAGCCGAGGCTCAGTTGAAATTCGGTAAACGTCATGAACGTTTATCGTTATGATTACTCCATCTTAAGCCGAATCATTCTCGCGCGTCCTACCTCTCCAGTGAGTCTGCTCATCAATATTACTCCCAGCTGATCCCCATTCTATCATTCCTTTGCTCCTTACCCTTATCACAGAGCGTCCTGTCATCCATCTCAGTACACCCACCTTGCGTATCGATCTCAATCCGCTCCTTCAGCATTCTTCGGGGTCGTTAGCATCGAACTATAGCCCTGGTTACTCGTCAGATATCCGTCCTTGAACCGAACGCTCTTTTGTATACAGTTTACGCTTGGACTTCTCAACCAGGACACCTCTTACAGGATTGACTTGTGTTCGCCATGTCCCAGTCTAGAATTCAAGAGCAAAAAAGGGCGGTTGCAGCGTCAGCTGCCGCTCAACAAAGTGACAACATAGCGCATGCATTAGCTGGCGCTGGCGGTGGCATTCTTTCAATGGTCTTGACGTGCGCAAAATTGAATCTCCCTTTATTGAAGCACTAGTTGACGATCATTTGGTGTTAGCTATCCTCTCATCACCCTTTCTACAAGAGCACAGGTCGAATCGAAACGTGCCCATTCTACTACCATGGACGCCGTTCGCCGCATTGTCCAGCGTGAAGGTTTCAGTGGACTGTACTCCGGACTTGAATCGGCACTGTTCGGCATAAGCGTTACTAATTTCGTATACTATTACTGGTTCGAATGGACTCGTGCGGCCTTCGAGAAAGCAGCCGTGAAAGCTGGTCGTGCATCCAAGAAACTTACCACGGCTGAGTCGATGATCGCTGGGGCTATCGCCGGAAGTGCAACAGTCCTGATCACCAATCCCATTTGGGTTGTGAACACAAGAATGACAGCTCGCAAGTCGGATGCGGAAGATCAGGCATTGCCTGGTGCGCCGGAGAAGAAGGCACGGGCCTCGACCATTGGCACCTTGATGGATCTGCTTCGACGGGAAGGGCCTACGGCCCTATTTGCTGGAGTGCTCCCAGCGCTCGTCCTAGTGATCAACCCCATACTGCAATATACCATCTTTGAACAGTTGAAGAATGTCGTGGAGCGCCGTAGACGCATGACACCTAAGGATGCGTTCTATCTGGGCGCGTTGGGCAAGATACTGGCCACCACGATTACGTATCCGTACATCACAGTCAAGAGCCAGATGCACGTTGCAAGCAAAGATGGTCCCAAGGAGAGTTTGAACGGAAGCTTGAAGAGAATTATCAGGGAGGAAGGGTACACAGGTCTGTACAAAGGTAAGCTGAATATGCGTATGCCGCGCAGACAATGCAAACTAAGCTGACGACTACGCAGGAATTGTTCCAAAAGTTACGCAGAGTGCGATTACCGCGGCTTTCCTGTTTGCTTTTAAGGATGTTTTGTATGATATGATGGTATCGGCTCGGAAGAAGTCTCGACTATCTAAGTAGACGGCATCTTCCTCCTTGAGCAGACGTCTTTGTCCACCCAAGCTGCAAGTCGACCATTACGGACTATACCTGTCGAGTCGAGCTTTGACAATCGTCCGATAATTCCTGCTCTGGCGCACCATCTGCATTTTTCGCCCCAATCCGGCTCGAGTTTAGCTCACATTCAGGCTACATGAAGCTGAATATTCCGCATGATTGACTGACCCAGGGTCATGCATTATCGCCTTGATGAGCGCAAGGCAGAAAGCTGGTTTGAGACTTCGGAATACGGCCCTCTTCAGCTGTTCCTTATTCCGTGATTCAATCATTGATGTGTTTTCCATGTACATAACTGGAATGTAAATCAGCCTCTTTGGCGATGTTCACATTTCTTCTCCGGGGCGAGCCATGGTAGGACTTCTGGACCGAGCTGAAAATAGCAGCGATAGAGAAATGAGGTTAGCTATATAGCCGCATAGACGTATAAGCACGCTGACTGGTGAAGTCGACGAGGTTTGTTTCTGTCCACAATGTGTCCAGCCTTGGGTTACAACCAAATTGTAACTTTCCACAGGCTCAGTCGACAATCTTCACACCACCCAGTCATGATTACCTTCGTCATCTCGTGGTTACAAGTCACATGCCCTGGTTCATTCCGGTCCGGAGCTGATTATTATTCTTCCAGCTTCTATGACTTATCAAGTCAACATGCTGACCGCCTGCTATATCTTGCTCTAAAGTGTTTTATTAGTGCCGGCATAAAATGATACGAACCTTCCGTGCCTAGGCTTGGTCCCGCGTTCACGCGTCACTCATTGAATTGCTCTAATAGTAATCTTCTTACATTTACAATACCTCCAGTGCTACAGAGCTCTTCTTCTTTCCCTCTTGTTTCTTATCTACCTGTCAATTCATTTAGATCTAGAAGGTCAGGGTCGACAGCCTATTGTTCTCCGGGGCATACCAACCTATACCCGCTATGTGAGTGACGAGCACCCTTGCCAAATGATATTACTTATGCTTCTCCTTTTCCCTGCTTCTTCATCTTCGTTCCCCTTGCGATCTCCGACTGCACTTCTTCTCTTGATGTATGGGACACTGACATTTACTTATATAGGCAATTCCTTCGTATCTCAGTACCTGATCTACTGGGAGACAGAGGACACTAGAATCTCTTCGAAGCCAGTCCCAATGCTACATGGTGCAATACCCCAGAAGATAGCAGGGATGATGAATCTCTGCACATCAAACCACCAAATCCTTGAACCTGATGATCCTGCGCTCGCTGAAGAGCACAAATTACTGCTATCAAAGTTTATGAAACCCTCTTCTAGGGGTACCAAGAAAATTGAGCGAGTGTCCTGCAACAACTTTGAGACAGTGTTTCACTCTCAGACATCTCTGAATAGCGCTACCAACACTATAATTGATGAATTCAGCGCAGTTACCAATCCAGGAGTCTCGTCGGGAGGCAGGAAGAATTGTAATGCCAAGGTAGCTCTTGGTTTACTAACTTCTGCGAGGAAAAGGTCAACATCCGATTTGTCGAGGATGGACAAGCAGACATTTAACTCTTCTCCATCATCTGTTGAACGGGATTCATCATCCCCAGCTCCATCTTCGACCAGGTCTCCAGCGCCAAGGACACGACGTTCTGCTCGCTCGAGAAACAAGCAAATCAATTATTATCCCGTGATTAGCCTCTCTCAATCTGACTCGGAAGAGGGTGATTCAGGCAGTAGAGACATAAAATCAGTCAATACCAGCTCACAGGCACGCAATCGGCAGGGTCACAAACCTTCCAGTCAATCATCCCAGCGCCTTCGTCACCTGAATTCGAATGCTGATCCTCTTTTTCATGCTGAAAACCGTATCATCTATTCTTCGCGAGGGGTGCAGATTCGGAAGTTGAACTTCAAATCCCTTGATGACCTCAAAGATCTTAAACACGCACCATTCTGCCCAGAACATAATCCTGTCAAATATGCCAGGAGATACAGGGAGTCCATGACAATATCATGTGAGATCTTGCATGTTGATTTTGACTCGCACGAGATGACAGCTATGATGAATTTATTATCATTACATGGGTGGCCGTATTCACCAACCTCAGAAGTCTCAATCAGTGATCAAGTTATCGCAGTATTGTCGAGTCATGATGTCCATCGGGATTTTGCGAAGAAAATCTCTCTGCTGCGCGAACTTGCCAAATTCATTTCAAATGAGGCAGTCATTGATACCAGCACCTGGCTCTGGGAAGTATTGACCTCAAAAGTCAGAAGCAAGGACCAGCAATCTGTGAGACATTGTCTTACTCAACTCCTTACTCTCCAGGGTATGGCAGGCGATGGAGTCTTGTCCGCTTCGCCCGCAGTCATCAAACAACAACTCCAGATATTCCTAAGCTGCTTGCCTCACGCGTCTATACTTTGGCGACGTCAGTCTGCCGATATTGATGCATTCATCCAGACTGCAAGAAATGGACATCTTTCATCATCGCCTTCGATTATTCAGGCTGCTCGAGTGACTGATAGTAGCAGCAGCTCCTCAGTTTTTGGTCCCATTCGAGCCCTGAACAATGTGAACGCATTACTACAGAATCGTGAGCTAGGAGGGCCTGTAAAGCGACAGCTTCGAACTAAGGTCAAGTCAGATTTCAGTCTTCTGAAGACTTGGAAAGGTGCTTCAAATGACGTGAATGTCCTAGCTTGGTCGCCTGACGGTACCAGATTTGCAGCAGGCGCCACTGCCCAATGCGATGAGGGCAATATGGAGTACAATCGGGGCAACAACTTGGTCATTGGGGACTTGACGTGCAATCGCCTCGAGGAGGTGCCTGGTCATTACATAATTCGCCCTCCTGGGAGGGCTGCGTCTCAAAGGGCCACAAGTGATAACCGTCTCTTCATGAGTGTTACTGCTATGCAGTGGTTCGATGATACACTTTTTACAGCCAGCTACGATAATACGGTGAAACTCTGGAGGTTTTCCGGCAACCGGATAACAAATCACAAAACGCTCCCACATGAATCGAAAGTACTAGTCATGGCGCGTTCAAATTTTCAAGAGAATCTGCTGGCAACCGGCGCGCAATCTTTCAGGCTATGGAACATCATGAAGTCAAAAGATGCTCCCCTGATAATTGAATCCAGAAGAGACCTGACTCCCACTTGCTTGGCTTGGGGGAGTACCCATGATACTAAACATTTACTGCTCGCTGGGATGTCCGAGAGGGATGATGGCCTACCGCACGCTTGCCCAGCCCCGAGTGGCTTTCTCACTGGGTGGCATGTGGGTGAGGCTTCAATAATCCCAACACCATTTCAGCCTAATTCACAGAATATATTCGATATCAAATGGCACCCGACCTTGCCGAGATTTGCCACAGCAAGTACGGTAGGCCAGAGCCAAGTGTCTCGGGGCACCAGGTCTGTGGTCCGTGTTTATGAACCACTGAAGTGGAAATCTCAGACAATCGAGTTCGAGTGTCCTGCGCTGGACATAAATGATATCACCTTCTGCCCAATGAACTCATACTATGTGACCGCCAGTTGCACTAATGGCGTAACATATGTTTGGGACTATCGCAAAAGAGACCAAGTCCTGCTAGAGCTTCCTCATGGTGAACCTCTCAACCAATTAGATGAACTGCTTGAGAGGGAGCAGGATGATGTAGGTGTTAGAATGGCCTTGTGGGGGGACGAAATCAACCAATTCTACACAGGGGCCTCAGACGGTATTGTTAAGCAATGGAATATCTTGCGATCTCAGGAGGATGCCCTTACCAAGAACGTCTTTGGAATTGAAGAGGAGATAATGTGCGGTGCCTTCTCAAGTGATAAGTCAAATCTTTTGATTGGAGACGCAGGCGGGGGTATCCATATCCTCTCTACTTCAAGCTCTTCGCCTCATGAGGGGAGAGACCCAAATGAAGATGAAAGGAAAATGCAATTCACGCACGCAGCTCAGTCACCCTGCGATGATCACGCATCAGATTCAGAGTCTGGGCTTGTAGCGGCCCGAAATCTACTGAATTCTGGGAAGCTCAAAAGACACCCTGTTTTTGGAGTGGGTCAAGGTCCTCATTATGATGGACCTTTTGCTAGGTGGGCTCGCCCAGGGAACCCAGATCAACCTCATCTTGCCAGTCTCGAACCGGATGTTAAGATGCGACAGCTCGATGGGCCGGCCCCTAAGGATCGCATTGGCTTGGACGAAGAATCACGGCAACTTGTGGAGGCTCATATTCAACTTGCTCGTATTCGCAACCAGCGGCGAAATGCATGTAAAAGGAAACGTGCTGTAAATGTCATTGATCTGTGCAGTGATGAGGAAGATAACCGGGGCCCTGGAAGACGAGCGCAAAGTCGGCACATTTACATTGGAGACTTCATGGGCATTGCCAATCTTCAATGTGAGGTGATAGACCTAACAGGTGACACCGATACTGATTCAGAAGAGAATGCAAGTACTGCGAGAGCTAGGCCACCTTGCTCTGAGTTCCCTAAAATGGACTCTTTGCTTGAAACGCTGGAAGCAGGTCTTGAAGAGGATTTTTGGTGGCCAGACAGTGGCCAGGTCAATCCTAATTTTCCACAAGAAGAAGCATAAAGCTGAGCAAGGTCAAGGGAGCTATGGAGCAGGTCACCAGCCTCCTGGGTGCTACTTTACCTATATCACCTTCATTTGTTGTTTGCCTCTCATATTTTCATTCACAATGATATGATTATTGATTTGTGGCTTTTATGAGTTGGGAATGAATGGCATGCTGAATGTTTACATCAATTGGTATCATGGTCTAGAAACATGGTACGTTTATAGTAATGATATTAATATACCAGAAGCCAGGAGACTCCATAGGTAGGTAGATGTTAGGATCCGGCTTCATCTAGTGTTGGTTTGCCCTATTAGGTGATAGCTAAATTTGTAAGGACCATGCCTCTGATGAGTAAACTCATGATAAAAATACATGAGAAAGTGTGCTTTTATCATATTTTGACCCCCGAAACTAGACTATCTTTCAAAGCTTGTTCCAGCTGTGAGGTGATAGATTAGTTTAATTGCTACGCTACGGAATATTTAGAAAGCATCTAGATTCTAGGCACCATTAGAAAGGTACTTTAGTGCCTCTGTAACAACATTCATATCTATGGTACCAGTCGTCCAATCAGCAGTATTTTAGTGTCTGGGCACCGCCACAGGGCACTGCAAAGTAGTTGACCCGGTCGGTGGCTAGGTGGCCATATCTATTTATATGAGATCATACCCTTCTGCTGGAACATAGTGAACGAACGACACGCCATCTCCAAATTTCTGTCCCTCCTTCTTCTAACTGTACACACGAGTTTGATACAAGAAAACGGTTGATCCTTCGCTATCGACGTACTTGGATATACTGTTGTTGGCCGTCCCTAAGACCGAGTCAGCTCCCCTCATCTCTTTCCTCTCCATGTCATTTGCCCCGCCCCCCGGACCTCCGCCGCCTTCCGTCCCAGAAGGATGGAAGGCTCAATATGACGACCGCTACAAGCAATGGTGAGTCCTCTTACGGCTTCGGTCTCAAGCTTGCTGTCAAATGTCTTGGATCTAATCTACCCTTCCCAAGGTTCTTTGTGAACTTGCACACAGGCAAATCCCAATGGGAACGTCCTGAGGGTCCAGCGCAGAGAGAAGAGCAGCATGCTCCGCCAAGCGGGCCGCCACCGTCATACGATGACTCTGGTCCTGCAAACCCGTCTGTTCAGGCTGCCGCAACTGACGACAAAAAGACGCTGGGGTCGAACAATCCCTACAACCAAGCAGAACCCAGCAATGATACCCTGGACAGCGATGCCCGTCTCGCTGCTCAGCTACAGGCAGAAGAAGATGCTCGAGCTCAAAGCAGAAGCCCTGCGCATCCCGGCGCCGCGGCAGACTACTACAGCGGAAGCTCCAGGCCGCTGTCCTCAACGGGTTATCAGCCGTCCCAGGGTCCTGCGCCGGCGTCTGAACCGAAGCGCAGCAGAGGCTTTTTGAGCAAGCTGATGGGCAAAAGCTCGAGCAGTAGTGGTAGCTCTCACTTTGGAAGACCGCCTGTTGCTCAGCAGCAACCTTTCGGGTATCAGCAAGGAGGCTACTATGGGGGTGGCTACCCCCCGCAACCGCAGCCCGCAGGCTATGGATATTCTCAGTACCCGCCACAGGGTGGCCACTATCCCGGAGCGGTGCCACCGCGGCGGGGCGGCGGAATGGGCACTGCAGGCGCTGCCGCTTTGGGTGTGGGAGGCGGTTTGCTCGGCGGTGCTCTGCTCGCAGAAGCATTCGACGATGACCATGGGGACACGATCGTTAATAACTATGGTGATGATTACGGTGGTGACTTTTGAGTTTGCTGAAATGTGCGCTGCTGTGTTGGCGCTTGTCCTCACCTGTCTTGATTTTCGGTTTCTAAGTTGATGGGTCACGAGAGCGCGGGCTTAATTGTCCGTTCTCGCCTACTGCGTCTGTCCCGGATGCTCTAAGCGTATCAATAGATGCGCATGTACACAGACTTGTTTCTGATCATTTTCCCGATGATATGATGTTGATGATGGTCATGTAAATAGTATTCTTGCTTGTGTTCTATTACTTACTTTTTATACTCCACTTTTTATACTCCCATACCGGGTTGGCTGAGATTCGTTATGTAGTCGGTAATAGGGTCAACTCGATGATATAACAGGAAATATCTTTGCGAGCAGGAAGCCAATGAAATAGTCTGTCAACCTCGTCTGCGCGTAGTACCTCCAGTTTCCCGACCGGTTGCGGCTCCCCGGGGGGCTCCAGGATCCGTCTCAGCGGTTTGCCTTGGGGTGGCACCGGCCATCCAGCCGGCGAGATCGAAATTCCCAGGCCCGCCGCCACCAGCCATAGCATTGCGCGTAGCACCAGAGATCGGGGAGGAGCGTGATTGCTTCTCGAATTCAGCACGCATTTCCGGGTCCACTGACAAATAAGTTAGCACGCAGGCAGGGCGTGTATATGCAGGGATCAATAGTATCAAAACGACTTACTATTCTCCATAAGTTTCGGCATTCCGAAGGTGAAGCCCAGTGCGACCAAAGCCAACAATATCATAGGGTTTTTGAAGAGCGAAAGAGGCGAGACTGGCACGACGCATTTTGTCAGCGTACACATCATTTGGAGCGCGCAAGGGTAAAGCATTCTCCACCACGGCAGCACGGGGCACCACGGCAGCACGGGGGTTGGAATGCATCTCACATCTAGCTCTTTCTTCATAGAATCCTCTTCTAGCCAAGACTTTGGCTTCCACCGTCACCTCTGAGGCTTTGGCGCCGTTGCCAGCAGCAGCATCGACAACGAACTTCTCCGGGCCGCGGTTGTCCCATGGGTTTCCCCTGTAAGTCTCCCACACGCCCAGGACAGTTCCATCTGCAGAGATGTCCACCCGGTACGGGGCAAAGATATACTCGGCCGATCGGATATCGAGCAGGTAGGACTCCGGTTTTGTCCCCTTGAGGTCCCGGAAGACGAAAGAAGCCGAGCGGGTGAGCGGGGCCGTCAAGGGATGAGGTACGTGACTTTTGGCATCTTCCCTATCCTTCGGTGACGGTAATGAGGTTAAGGTCGCGTGTGTCCCAGCCGGGAGGGTGTTAGGGTTGGGTAGCAGATTCGAAGGAGGAATGGTGATTGTGAGGGAAGCGGACAACACTGTTGTGAAGGTGGTCGCAACGAAAAGGAGAAGGGCGGATAGTGACGACCTGAGGAGGAACATTATTGCAAGGGAGGAGGCGCTGGGCCTAGAATATAATTGAAAAGGACAGCAGCGTCCTCGTACAATTTTTGAGAATTTCGTAGGCGGTTAGGCGAAGAACAGATGTCGTTTAGAATGGGAACATAGCTGCATAGGTGAAGGTGTGGTGATGGAGTGAGTGCCAAGCTCTTCGGTCATTCGTCTATTTTCCGCATCAACCGACTACTGCATAAGCGACGGCTCAATGTTGGCCATCACTGACTGCCACTCCATTCACACCTCTCCAAGGGGATAGGAAAAGTACAAGTCCATTCCAACTGCGGGTTATCTCACTAATGAAGTGGCCTCTATACCTGTCTCGTAGTCACTTCCCGTCTCGGAGGTATGGCAAATGGGATCTCGACAGAAAACGCAAGATATCAATGCCACCCAGGCACGAAGGATAATACTCGAAAACTACCGGGGTCTGAATGCAAGATATAGAAAATATGGCATGTGCACTATCTGCTGTTCCGCAAGGCCAAAGACCATTCAGACATATGTACATTGCTTTAAGAGATTGGCTATACTACACCACGAGCACAGATAACTTGAAGGACTGGTATAATTCTATACAAGAAGAGAAGTCAAACCACATTTACAGCTTAGCCTTGGGAGCGGATTGCTCCTCCAGAGCCTGCTCATAAAGCTGGTCCAGGAGCTGGCGATACTTCTTCGCGGTAGGAGGACGCTTCAGCTTGAGACTAGACAGAAAACCAGTGTTAGTATCTGAAAGCAATGGCAATACTGCACGAAAGAACACGACTACTTACGTCGGCGTCAGCAGGTTATTTTCAACGGAGAAAGGGTCAATGAGCAAAGCACAGTTCTTGACCCTTTCGTAACCAGCAAGCTTGTGCTTCTTGGCGACCTTCTCGAGGTCCCTCAGCACAGCCTTGCGGACCTTGTCATCACTCAGAACCGACTTCAGTCCCTCAATGTCTGTAGCGTCGATAGCTCGACCGAGAACTTTGCTAGCAAATGGAGCGAATGCATCGGGCTGGACACCGAAAATGCCAACCAGGAAAGTTTGAACGCTGTCGCCATGAACGTAGCCTTGAGCAAAATAACTAAGCTCAGACAGGTAGACACCTTCAAGCCGTTCGGGAGAGATGTACTCTCCCTGGGCAAGCTTGAGGACATTCTTCCGGCGATCGATGATAATAAAGCGACCCATTTCATCAATTGTGCAAACATCCCCAGTGCGGAACCAACCATCCTCGGTCATTGCTTTGCTTGTCTCCTCCGGGTTCTTGAAGTATTCCCTGAAGATATTGGTACCACGCAGAAGTAACTCACCTCGCGGGAAAGGCTTGTCATCGACCGAATATTCCATGTCAGGCAGAGACATTAGACAGGCTTCGGTGGAAGGAGCGATACGCCCACAGTTGCCGGCGGTAAGATCCTTCGCAGACTGCGAGCTTGCGATGGCGTACGTCTCAGTCAGGCCGTAACCCTGGATGAAGTCGACTCCAAAAGCAACTCTCAGGAAGTTGTGCAAGGAGGGGTCGAGGGGCGCCGAGCCAGAAACCATGAATCTACACCGTTCCAAACCAATGGCCGCAGCGACCTTCTTGGCCCAGATTCTGTCGTAGAGAGCATGCTTCACGGTGGCTTTGCTAGGGTCGGGATTCTTCAGATTGGCAGTTTTGGCGGCAACAATGTGTCTTGACAGAGCACCCTTGAAGCCGGGCTGCTCTACGGTGGCACCACGAATGACGTTGCCAAAGCGACTGTAAAGACGAGGGACAGACATGAATGCCGTAGGTTTCAAAGCCTTGATATCGTCAACCAGTTCGACGATGTTACCGTGGAAGTAGCCGATACGCGCACCCGCCCAGAAAGCGGTATGCTCCGCCAAACGGGCATAGATATGGGCCAACGGGAGATAAGACAAACTTGTGTCACCCGGGGCCTGCTGGATGTTGACGAGAGCCGAAGAGGCAGCAGCCACGGCATTTTGATGGGTCAAGACCACACCCTTTGGAGGACCGGTAGTACCGGAGGTATAGTTGATAGTGACGATGTCCGAAGGAGACGGGGGTACGCACGGACGATTCGAAGCGGTGCCCAGTTCCTCAACCTGATCCATGGTATAGATTACGACGTCCAGACCGGCAGCAACGGACTCCAGAAGCGCACGCTTTGAGTGGCCGGCGGGTTCACCAGCATCCAGAGGATCCAGACTCACGATGATCTTAAGGTTGGGCAAAGAGGGCTTGAGCTTGAGTAGAGTGGGAATATGCGGCAAGGAAGTGACAACACAGTTCAGTTCAGCATGGTTGATGATATATTCGGTGGCATCCGAGGCGAGGACATCATAGATCGAGACCGAGTAGAGAGACTGGGACATGCATGCCAGATCTGCGATGACAAACTTCAGTCAGAGGCCAGGAACATATTGAGTAAGCAGACGAAGGAGAAGCGGGGAGTACCCCGTACCAGTTATCTGCCATTCTGGCCGATTTTGACACCACAATCCAATTCCGTATGGTCCCGAGCGTCCGCAGCCATGCTTGTTGTGCAGTTCCACCAAGCCGGCACCAAATGCAGCTCTTCGGTTTCGAACGGTCTCATAGTCCATCCACTGGTAAGGGCCATAGGTCTTTGTGACCGGGTCGTAAGGACGCCATCCGAGGCAATGGGCTTTTGGGGCTCGATTCGCGGTCGACTCGAAGACATCATGGGCCGTGAGAATCTAGACAGACAGGATCAGGATTAGTCGTGAGGAAGTTCCAGGGTATTCCGCAGCAGGTCTGCGAGACATTGAGGGCGTGTGTCTTCGGCGCATACCTTGGGGTCCAAGGTCTTTAAAAGCTCATTCTGGAGATTCCAAGCACGGTAGACTTTGCTCCGTCCGGGTTGCTCGGTGCCAGGAATAGCAACCGAATATGGAGTGCCCTTGGGAGGTTCTTGTCTCAATTCCTCCGCACGAGCGAGGTGGGTGGGTTGCTGGGAGAAAAACATGGCGGCGACAATGTACGATCTATCTCTGTTTGAGTTAGATGGTACAAAAGCATTCAGAACACTTGGAGTCGTTCCAAGGCCAAAGGAGGGAGGGGAGAGCTTTACGGCGTTCAATAGCACAAGTGCGAAGTCTCGACGACGACTGTAAAAGGGGAAATTTACAAGAAAAAGGAGGGCTTTGTTTGCCCAAAAACAGAAAACGAGCAATCTATACAATGATAAAAGAGAAAGCGAAGTGATCGCGACAAGGACAGACAGTATGGAGTCAAGATAAGTGAAAAGGGGAGTGGGGGAAGCTGGCCGGACTCCTTATGGGTACAAAACGACGTCTTCGTGCCAGACTGGTCTTGTTCTTTCCTTTCTCTTGCCTGTCCGATGGATAGAGAAATAAATATCTGGAGAGAAAAAGCGGCCGGGGTTCCCTGACACTCCGAGCCAGGGAAAGCCCGCCAAATCACCCCTCGGGATGGGGTAGTGACCTGAGTTAGGTAGGACCCCAGGCTGGGGCTGGAGCATTGCCGAGCAGCTGAATGGCCAAGCCAAGCGTCGCAGTCATAACCGACCATTCATCCTCGTGGGAACTTACCTCGGCTGTTTTGCCTTTCACGCTCGCTCCTCAGCAATTGAGATACTCCGAGCCTATCAGATGCTCTCCGCACCTACCCAGCAACTCCACTATCATTATTGATGCGTTTCCATCACTTTTGACATCAAAGACTCAATCACTAAGTCACTCAAAATAATAGAGGCGGAGACGCTCTTCTATTTCCAGTTTAGATCGTTCAGTGTCCCGGAGATCCTAACGCAAGATGGCGTCGGTCGGAAATTGACCCTCATACAGTTAAAGTCGCGGACAGCCTAGGTAAATATCTGGGGAAATTTCCGTTTGATTTGACTGGACATACTCCGAGCGAGTGATCGAGATCGGGACTTGTGCGCATAGATGACAAGAGTGCCTACTACTTACTTTCACGAGTACTATTCTATTATGTGTGTAGAGCAGATAGGTACCCAGAATAAGCACCTACTAGGTAACAAGGTACCTACAGTGTCAGCTGCAAGGGATGAATGATCCTTGGTAAAAGCTAATCGCGGTACGTGCCTTAGCACGTGGATAGAGCTTCATGTGACAGTGTATCTAAGGTAGTCATGCAGCATTGTTGTCCTCCTACAAGAGGTAGGGATGATCAGATATTATCATTGACTGTTGTTGAGCTAACAAATATCATGAGTGAACCAAACAAAATATGTCTATGGCATAACTGCAGCTACAACTTGAGATAGCCGGATCTGATGGCACATGAATTATCTATTTATTCAAGAACTGCACAGTAACACAATCAGATCACACCCATGAAAATAGACAAGTCACCTGACTCCATGCCAAATGCTGAACCCTAAGAGAGAAAATATCTACATGCTAGTATATACAAGACAGAACTGAGATAGGCACAGGGGTATCATCCCTATTTCACCGACGCATTCATCCTTTCTCCTGGCACCAGTCCACAAATAATCGGACAGCCGAACCACCATACCAACGAATGTAGACATTGTAACAGCCCGTATTCCATTTTCTGTACATTAGTTACTTCTCCTGTGAACGGCCGACACATATGGCAGAGTTGAACGGGCCGAGAAGTCGCGCCATATTTCTATCCCAGGATCGCGCTGCCCAACTTCTTATACCACTTGGTGGGAGTGACCGTCTCCCACATCTCGTTCTCCAAAGCGACGCGGCCAGTATCGATATCTGCTTCGATTGGACGCACAAATGCTGGTCGGAAGATGATCTTGTGGCCCAAGTAGAGCACAACGAAAAGGATCAAACTGAGGTAGGCGACGAAAAAATCGGTCACGCTGAATGTTGGAATCCAGGCAGTGAATCCTTGTGTGAGGATAATCAGGATGTTGAAGAACAAGCCATAGTAGGCATACCATGGCTGCCACAAAGCCTTGTACGGAAGGAGGTCACGAGAAATGTTGCGAGCCTCTAAAGCCCGCATGAACGCAATATGGCAAGCATTTAATGACGCCCATGTAATGAAGCCTGCCACACCGGAGATATTCAGGAACCAGTTGAATACAGTGCTACCAGCGTTGGAAACATTCATGAATCCAAGCAGGCCAAAAGCCGAGGTGAATGCAACACTGTAGTAGGGAACACCTTTCTTGCTAGTCCTCTTGAAGCAACGTGGCGCGAACCCTTCCTGTGCCAGACCAATCAAGATACGGCTGCCACTATAGACGTTTGAGTTCGCAGCGGAAAGAACCACAGTCAACAGGACCGCATTGATGATATCCGGAAGAACCTTCACACCCGCTAGCCTGGCTGCAATGACAAAGGGTGAGGAGTTGGCGTCATTTCCACCAGTGAGAAGGTTCTCATTAGTGTAAGGCACCAGCAGACCGATGAAGAAGATGGTCAGGACAAAGAAGAACAGGATCCGAAAGAATGTCTTGCGGATGGCCGAAGGAACAGTCTTGCGGGGGTTCTCTGTTTCACCAGCCGCAATGCCAACGAGCTCAGTCCCCTGGTATGAGAATCCAGCCTGGATCAGGACAGCCCAGAAGCCGACAAATTTCGCGGTAGAATCGGGGTGAACGCTTTCGTAGGGGGAAAAGGGCCCAGGGTCCACCCAGTGCCGGAAACCAAGATAGCCACGGTCACCAGCACCTGCGTCAATGCAAATAGCGAAGATCATGAACCCCACGACAGTGATGACTTTGATGCTTGAGAACCAGAATTCCAACTCGCCATAAAAACTGACGGGCAAGAAGTTGAAAAGTGTGATCATCACCCAGAACACAGCAATAAAGATGGCGATCTGGATGTCAGATTTCCAAAATTGGATGATCAGACCCGTTGCGGTTAGCTCAAGAGCATAGGTGATGGCCCAGGAAAACCAATAAATCCAACCCATGGCGAAACCCAGACTCGGGTCGATCAATCGCGCGGCATAGGACGTGAACGCTCCTGGGATTGGAATGTATGTAGCGACCTCTCCCAAGGAGGTCATGACCGAGTAGACGATGGAGCCGACGAAGATATAGGCAATGAGGGCACCCACAGGGCCTGCGTGTGCGATAGCGGTACCGCTACTGATGAAAAGACCTGTGCCAATAGTACCACCTATCAGTGGATTAGTACCGGGCGAGATATTTCCAAGTCGACGTTCGAATCGAAGTATGACTCACCAATGGCAATCATCTGTAGATGCCTGCTTTTCAACTTCCGCTTGAGATCGGGCAGCGGATTTGATTGACGGCTAGCTCCATGCTTCTCACAGTCCAGCTCGTTTGAGGTAGGTGGAGGACTGTTGTCGTAGACCTGGACAGGCTCATCGTTTAACATCTTGCCCTTGCCCTCTGCGACCTTTGGCGCAGCCGTGACCTCAAACTCATTGAAGGCCATCTGTCGAGCGTTCAGCGCTGAAGGATTGAAACAGGACGGATTGGAGTACGCAAGCGCACTAGAGGGCTTGTGGGGTTTCAAGGTACTAAAAAGAAAGAAAAAGAAGAGGAGAAAAAAAATTGGGGTGGAAGGAGGGAAGCGCGCCGTTCAACAGGGACTCCACTTAAGGTTGAGCGAGTCGAGTCCACTAGATAGATACGTACTGCCGATTAACGGAGCAAGCCAAGCCGTTTTCTATTCTGCGCTGCTGTCTGAATTGACTCAAGACGAGGTTCAAGAATGGACAATGAAAAGACTTGTGCGCTATGCTTTTACTGCAAGTGCATCGGCTCTTCAAAGGCAGAAACGAAAAGGACTGACACTTGCAATGGGGTAACGGCGCAGCCAATGACGAACGAGACAGATAAAACCAGTATGTACAATGTACAGGAAGGATGTTATGTAAAGAGAACAGTACTCTGTAGACAGAAACCGGCTGGAGTGGGCTTTAATAATGGAGATTATGGAGTCATTCTATCCGCGAGCGGGAGGCAATGTAACGTTGATTGGACACTCGAAGGGAGATTAGAACTGAGAATAGCTAATGATTATCATTTTTGTTATCATCACTGGACCACTATCTACTCTTAGTAAAATGGAAAACCTTTTCCTAGGTACTTTTTGGTGCACGATACAATTTCCCGTTCCTCCCTCCGCCAATGATAAGACTTGAATCAATAAATGCTGGAAAGCACGACCCTCTGGAGGGCAATGTATTTCCAACATCGATCATTTGCTCGGGGCTTCCGATGTCCACGCAGATATTTACTATGCAAGAGTTACCATCCAGGGACGTGGAGCGCTGCTGGGAGTGCTGGATGATGGGCGGAGAAAGAAAATTTTTTTCCACGGAAGATGACTCAATGCTAAATGATGAATTAAGTGCGGTGGCGGAAAGTTGACGAAGCTTGGCTACTTGGAAATCGGAAATCGGAAATCGGGAATCGGAAATTGGAGATAAGTTGCCCAAAGCGAGAAACTGCCTAACAACTAGTTTTTTTATCTATGATAGATAAGTGCAACTACACATATTGACAGAAATTCTCTTGGTTGCTGACTTTTCTCTTCGGGGTTTCCACGTTCATCGTAAGTTTACGGCACCTGGGTCAGTGCATGCAAGCATCTAAGCTCAGGTCGGCAGTCTCCGAGGCCCGGATTGCTGGCCAAGCTGGTTCTGAGGAACTGCGAACAACCGAACACCCAGACTACAGAGGCCTAGATTAAATCCTTAGAAACCGAAGCAAAATAGTTTTAAAGGGTCAAGATAGTAGTGGGAAAGCCTGGGATGACTGGGATCTAAACACTATCCCAAACCAAGGCTTGAGACGGGGCAAACTGAGGCGTGGCTAAAAGCTTCTAGAATATTTCCTTTCAAGTGATCCTTTTGAGGCATCCGCCAGTCTAATTCTCCTGTCTTATACAACGCAATCATGCTTCGTACTTCAATAGAAGTAGAGTCAAGATAGGATTCATATCATCGACCATAATTGGCATTAACCGGCAATTCACTTGACCTTGAAATTTTACAGTGGGTGCTCATCTATTGTTTACCGTCAGCCGGGAGAAACAGGCAACCTGATATAGACTCTCGTCAAGTCCTGATAAAACCTTGGCTTTCCAAACTCAACTGCCTTTTTTCTTTCAGAAAAACGATATTTTGTTCATGGTTATCAATGAAATTTCAGCAAACTTGTGGATCAGTGTACAACGGAGATTAGATACATGGTATAGTACTGACGGGGTATCAACATCGCAGCGTGCAGAGAAACAAAGTAGGTGATTATAGAAGGTACAAACGCATAATCATGAATATGAGAAGCCGTGGTCTCCAGTAAGCGCCAATTGCGAATTTATGAGGTTCGGAAAGTCAGCCCGGGAGGTCGACAGCCATCTTTCATGCGCTTCAGTGAAGTCCCTCTATATCCTTGTATCTGGATGACTGGAAACAGCAAGCATCGGTCGAAGCTGGCGTATATGACGTCATGCCATTAGAACAAGGCCCCTTTTCTTTGGAGACTCATCGCGATTATTCATGTGAACATGTATGCGAGAACAGGCACCCATTCTCATGGAATTACAGTCGCTATCAACCCCGTTTAGACTCCGATCTGGGTGGTAGTTTGCGGGGCAGGCTTCGTACTGTGACCGCCAGATCGCAAAGCACCGAGTATAGCTACAATGGTCGTAGCAAGGAACAATGCCCTTTTCCCACTATGTCAGCCGTTATATCTTGGAATCCGGTAACACATCGATATGTGACGAACGAAACTCTAGATTGAAATGGATAACGACTTACCATTCGAACGACCCAAACACGGTTGCAGCTTGCAATGCCCTGCATTGACCCCAGTGGCAGTAATCCGGAGACGGGAGCAAAACACCAAGCGCAATAAACCCTGCAAACCAGAAAATCATGGTCACGATTTCCACAGCTGGGATGACAAAACGATGCGCCAGTTGGGGAAAGAAAACCGGGGCCAGCGCAAGATAAGGCGTCGCAACAAAGGCAGTCCAGACGCCATTGAAAAGCATGAAATTGACGGTGTCACTCCAGCGGACTACACTGACAGCTGTTAGGGTGTTAGCCCGGTCTTCCATCAGCACAACAGGATGAGCGGAGGCCTACCATATGCAGTCAATCCGAGAACGATGATCGCGAACACTACCTGGGCGACGCGAACAGGATAAATCCAAGGGAAGTTCAAGGCCATAATGAGAAATGATCGCGGCTGGGTGTCTAAATGGTGTGAATAGATTATTGCATCCAGATGTGGCAAGTGTGAGAAGAGAGACTCTGCTTCTTCCGACCTATATACTCGTAGTCAATTAGCCGATCTTTTTGAAACCGAATCTCGGGCATGTGAAAACGGGAGGGAGAGATTGAAGCGGACTGAAGGGCGCTGGGGAAAGCCATGACCGTGACTCGTAGACCTTTTCAGCCAAGATCATCGCGATTTCCGTGCCATATAACACCACTGTTGGCCTCAAACATTCTCCTATGACAGGTGGCAGACTGGACAGGCGGGTACGAGACAAACCTTTATCGGGGAAGATATTATATTATTGTTCAAGCTTGTTGGAGGAACGACGACCACAGACTTTGATAGAAGGTGGACTCCAACCTCATAAGGTACATATACATCAGAAAGGACATCACAGAAGGATCTTGACCGCTGGTGTAGTCTCCTCGCTTTAAATACACGCCCGATGACCACAAACGTCACAGTCAAATGCCGTTCTTCTAATTCTTCCGTGTACGCTGGTAAAGCTGCATGGCGCGAACATTATGATTGGTGTCGATCCCTTGTCGTTCTGTTGTGTACTATAAATTCATTTCTGTCTTACCCTTTTACTGTGTAGATGGGGCACAAGGCTAAGGAACTTTCTGCCTTATGACGACATGCGCCTCGGCAAAGTAATCCTCATCAAGTATGTATCATGAGGAGAATAAATTCAAAAGTGACATTCTATGCCTCTCTATAGGAGACTAGGAGCGCCACGATAGACTTGGTGAATCATAATTGATTCTCACCGTCTCACATGATAGAAAGCATGTGGATGACGTTGAAGATGCCATGGTATTACTATTTATCTACCTTAAGGCCCGTCCATGGTCGACCTATTGTGCCTTGAGATGAATAATCAATCATCAGCTTCCCCAGACTCGGGGGCTGCTGGAGAATGTTACTCCTACATTCCATCTGTTCATTACCTCGAGAATGGGAATAGGTGTTAGGGATTCTAATCCATTTCTGATACCTGCTTTGTATACTTCGGGCAAAGTAATCTTATCAGCGCCAAAAATAGGATGAATCATCTGCTCCATACAGACTCTCATACCCCATGGCTCTCCAAAACACCCAGCATCCTCAACCATCGAAGATGCACCCTTTTGCTTTCTTTTCCATTCTTACTTATCTTTTAGAAATATTGATTATTATCAGGTCCAATATAGCCTTCAATCTCTGTCAACAGAAAAAAAAAAATCAACATAATGATTGCTATATCCAGAAAATGTCTAGCCAAATTGTATGACCCTTTTTTTTTTTAAGGCCGTAGCTTTCCACATAAAATCATCACACTCTTTTAAAAAGCAATTATAAGGTCTGTATTCTACACTTTTCTGAATGATTAATTCTTGTTATTGATGCTTTCTCGTAATGCCTTTTCCCTCTCCCAGCTCCAGTGTTCAATCCCTCAATCACGCAATCGGCGCTACCCCAGTGCACAACCCCAAGTATACCGCAACTAAATATGCAGACTTACTTCTATATACTTTGCTGAAGATCACTCCCCCGCTTTAAATACTCCCTTCTTTTGCATTTTTTTCTTCCTTCCCCTTCAATTTGCAGTGTTGGCCCTCCCTCTTCACCCTCATCTCTACCTGTCGCTTCTCGATTTCACTACATATCGTGCGAGGAGAGTATCCAGTTCTAGTAGCAGATACCCAATCCTTGAACGTACACCATGTCGCAAACACCTCATTTTGAAACGCTCCAACTCCATGCTGGGTAACATAAACATAGAAATCTGGACCGCTCATTATTTAAATGGCAATACTGACAAGTGAGCAAGTCATGAACCAGACTCTACTACCAATTCGCGGGCAGTGCCAATCTATGCTACTAGCGTTGGTCCCATCCCTTCTACTCTCTTAGTTTATTCCCCAACTGATCTCGAGATGCAGTCATACACATTCAATGATTCTGCCCATGGCGCAAGACTCTTTGGCCTCAAGGAGTTCGGAAACATCTACAGCCGGATCGGGAACGTGAGTAAGTCTCCGCAGCCGAGGTTGGGCCGAGTTGCTGACAACCGTCATTTGGCTTCAGCCTACTGTTGATGTTTTTGAGAAGCGCATCGCCGCCCTCGAAGGGGGTGTGGCAGCCGTTGCAGCTTCTTCCGGCCAGGCTGCACAGTTCATGGCCATCGCCGCGCTTGCTCACGCTGGCGACAACATCGTAGCTACGAGCAATTTGTACGGCGGTACCTATAACCAATTGAAGGTCTTCCTTCCTCGTCTGGGCATCACAACCAAATTTGTCCAGGGAGACAAGCCAGAGGACATCGCCGCCGCCATCGATGACCGCACCAAGGCTGTCTATGTCGAAACTATTGGCAATCCCCGGTACAATGTACCCGATTTCGAGGCCATCGCCAAGGTTGCTCACGAGAAGGGCGTTCCTTTCGTGGTGAGTTTGACGTCGAAATACGGGAAGTCTATCTCTGATCGCGCTCGCCTTTATTCTAGGTTGACAACACTTTCGGCGCTGGCGGTTACTTCTTCCGCCCCATCGACCACGGTGCTGACATCGTCGTCCACAGCGCAACCAAGTGGATTGGTGGTCATGGAACCACCATTGGCGGCGTTGTTGTTGACAGCGGTAAATTTGACTGGGGTAAGCACGCTGACAGATTCCCCCAATTCACCGAACCGTCCGAGGGCTACCACGGATTGAAGTTCTGGGAAACATTTGGATCTATCGCTTTCGCTATTCGTGTCCGGGTTGAGATCCTTCGTGACCTGGGATCAGCACTGAACCCATTTGCCGCTCAGCAGCTTCTGCTTGGTCTGGAGACTCTGAGTCTGCGCGCTGAACGACATGCAAGCAATGCCATTGCCCTGGCTACCTGGCTGCAGAAGAACGAGCACGTGAGCTGGGTCTCGTATCCCGGTCTCGAATCTCACTCCAGCCACGAAATTGCCAAGCGTTACCTGAAGCGCGGCTTCGGTGGCGTACTATCATTTGGAGTCAAGGGAGGCGCGGCTGCCGGTGTTCAGGTAGTTGACAACCTCAAGCTGATCTCCAACCTGGCAAAGTGAGTAATCCTGGCTCCCGAAACTTTTGCTTCCTCGCTGTCCGAATGCATGCTAACTCATTTGCAAAAAGTGTTGGGGATTCGAAGACTCTGGCCATCCACCCATGGTCTACCACCCACGAACAGCTCACGGAGCAAGAGCGGCTGGACTCAGGTGTCACTGAAGATGCTATCCGCATTTCGGTCGGTACCGAACATATTGACGACATCATTGCTGATTTTGAGCAATCCTTCAAGGCCTCCAGTGCTGCACTCACCCAGTAGAGTGTAACCTTACGTCTATTATAAAATGAGAACGCCATAAGGCGGAAAAATATGTGCGATGAACATATGATACCAAGCAGGATATTTTTTTCTGAAATTCATTTCTTTGCAATATGAAGTCAATGTAGACTTTCTTCGTCGAGGTAAGCGCAGTGTTGCCGCGAATAGGATTGATGAAGAGCGGTGTTCTATGAAGCATTCTGGCTACTCTATAGTATAAAATGGTAATCCCCCGTCGGGGAAATTGTCAGCCGCGGAGTCGGTATGTGGCAGCACTGGTCCGTTACTGGGCGACACAGTCGCACGAACGAGCTAACAAAAGTATATGGAAGTTGTCCTCCGTATCAGAGATTACTATTGAATTGAGTACTCAACTATAGCAGAGTCGAGCTAGAAAAATGGACCCCATCATACAACGAAAAGAGAAGAAAGGAAAGCAAAGCAATGACCTGAACAGAGAAATACAAAGCAAATAGTACCTGCTCGAGTTTATTTCCTTTTGGTGTGAACGCAGGAAGACAGGTAGGGTATAGCACCGCAAAGAGCCACCTCAAAGAGTCTCAACCAACTTGAGCTAACTGAATATCAACACCAGCAGTAGAAGGTCGATATGATGGGCGGAATGTAGAATAGCCATGAAACAATGGGAGTATCCAGCTTCATGCAACCAGCTTTCACTTCTCATATCTTGACGTGCTGTTTTTGCTCTGGTAGATCTCACTGCAAGTGTGACTGGGAAATTAAGGCAGCTTGGCTCCCGCCAATCTGACATCCTAGGCCAGTTGACTCTTCATGAAGTAAAACAAGATTCATGTTTAGAACTGCCCTGAGAACTCAAAACTCCCGGATAACCCCGTTTGAGAGAAATAGTACATGACACATAAAAAGAGAAGCGGAAAGCGAAACGTGGTTGAGCCGCCAGACGAAGACAAGACTGTGTACACGGTGAGGTTAATGCAATGTTGTCCACGAGATATGATCTGTTGTGTCGACGAGAATTGGCCGGAAGGCTCAACTTCCTTGACCAGGAGGTGGCGGTTGGGTTGATCCGCCGGAAGATCCAGCTTGTGCCCCTCCCATCATGAAGCCAGGAGGAAACATGTGCATCCCGGGAAACGAAAATCCGAACCCAGGCACTGCAGGAGGAACGCCGACGTTATTGATAGCCGAGGGGTCACGACCCTCATGAGGACCAGGGCCACCTGGACCCATCCCGCCCGGTTGCCCGTCACGCTCTGGGCGACGGAATCGATCTTGCTGCGTGCGAGACGACACCGGTCCGCGTTTCCCTCCCGTGTCTGTGGCAATTCGTCTACTAATGGCTATAGGGCAGAAAATTAGCCTTGACTCCATCTCGTTAATAGGAGGGATAAGGAAAGTAATCTTCTTACCCTTCGAAGAAACACCAGCACCGATTTCAATGTCAGGTTCCTCAACTACCATGCCAGACTCGATGGGTCGCCCTCCTGTTCCACCATATTCAGCAGTAAGCATCCACTTACGATCTGCTTCCGTAAGTCGCTCGATTGGGATGACACTGATGCCTGTCTGATAGTCACTACAGTCGCGTGGACCAAATCCGACACCCCATCGAGTCTAATTATGTCAGAGCATTTCCTAAACACAG